CCCCCCCCCCCCCCGCTTCCTTGGTGGAGATTCAATTTGAGATTTTATCCGCTGTCAAATGTGGTTAACCACATTATGCCTACTATAAAGCAGCAAAATGAATGTGCAGAGAAACTGACAGCATGCTATATATTTTGAGTTATACGGATGCAACAGCTAAAAAAACGGCCTGTGTTTTTCAAAGAGGGGAAGCGTTGCTGTGTCTTAAAATACCAATTTTATTTTATTCTCCTTGCATCCTGTGGACTGAAATATATATAAACATATGCTGGGTATATGTTGGCAGTGATTTAAATGCAGTCACTCCAGTTGCATCATGGAACTCAACCCATGGACTATAGCAAAATGGTTTACCAAGTGAGGGACAGGGTACATGGGAGGTTTATAAAATCTGAATGCTGTTGAAGGAGATACGTTTTGGTTGAGATTGTGTTCACGTTTGACATGCCATGAAACGGAGATGTGGCATCTTCAGACGGACCAAAGGAGGGCAAGCCGAGGATGCTAATGTTGTGGGTTGGCTAATCCACTTGGGTTTTTAGTCCGAACGTTGAAGGAGGTCTTCAGGGTGCAGAATGGGGCTGGAGATGAAAGGTCCTGCTTTAAGTGGGTAGCCTCTCCCGCGTGAGCCGGAACCTGCCAAAGCCCATTGTTCTGGGGCCAGTCTGGGGACTGCTAGATAATATATCCGGGGAGGAGATTTCTCTTGCTCTCTGGATTGACACTGTTGGTTTGATGCAAAGGAAGGAAGGATGCCCCCCCCTCTGTGAATCATGGAATACATATGATGCTGCTCCTATACCATCTACTTTCTGGCAGGATGGGTTCAGATCAACACCTCTACGATAAGCGCAGGGCATGGAACGATGGACTCTGAAGAACATTACTTGGGCAGGACTTGGAGATCAATGCTTGTGATGCGCCACAATCTCATTCAGCATAATCTTATGCACAGGGGTAATCTCTATGTGCCATGGTGCAGCCAGATATGTGTGCCTGAATGTCAGGAATGGTACCAGACTTCATGACGAATCCACTGAAGGCCTTTAGCTTTTTTAAACGAGCCACCTTCCAGTTTACCACGGGAGAAACAAAGCGCATGCACTCCGTGATCTGAAGTCTAGAAGCTAGTTTTCCTGGCTGCATTGGTTTTTTTTGGGGGGGGGATCTTCAATCCACACTGGAATTGTATCTTTCCATTATTTGCATAATTGAAAATGTTCTTCCTTCTCAGCCACCCTGATCATTTGGGGAGAGAAGGAGCTTCTCGTCCGTGTTTTGAAAGCTTTGGTTGCTTAAGCTAATAATTCCGCTGATTAAAGCTTGACGTCTCTAAATTGAACTGGCTCCACTGTTTAAGAGAGGAAATGTTCGAAAACTTCCCTTCTGCAAGCTAACGTGCCATGAAGTTAATAGTGAAGATTTTGGATCTAGAGGGGAACGATTCCTCAAGTGGTTTTTGTGGAGAACGATCCGGTTCTGGGTTTTTACGCTTGAGAAACCAGAACACATAGTTCAATGTGGGCATTAAATTCACCCCTAAAAGTGTCTTCTAAGGGCCTCCGTTTTTATGCTAGTAGCTGCTGAAGAAACCTGGACCACATAGAATGAGAGTGGAGTCCTGGTGTATTCCGTAAACCTGGGTTTTCAACCAGAGTGAAGCCACCTTTGGAGTGGATTGAACCTGTTTTTTTTTCCTGGTCTGCCTTTCTCCACATTAGATGCACCTCTGCATTTTCCTGATTAGGTTTTATTTCCCTTGCTCTCTGTGAAAATGCCCATTACGGATTTTCTTCATCCTTGTGTGCAAAATGAGAAGTGCAATTCCCCCCCCTTCCCTTAAGAAAGCAAGGATTTGCTTTTTCTCAGCTTCACAAAGAAGCCGCCTAGAGTGGTCCTATGTGATTCAGGTAGGCGGGATATAAATTAAATAAATAAATAAATAAATAAATGTGTGTGTTTCTCAGGTGATCCAGAAAACGTACGGTCCTCTGTTAGTGGGTGGAATTTTTAAAAGCAGAAACACTAGGTGTGTTTGTCTTTTTGCAATCAAGCACCCCATCCTTTTGGATTTGCTCTGGATCCATGTGGGTGTTGAGTTGCACAAACACAAAAGACTTGAGAGACATTTTGGTGCAGAATTCTGGCTAAATTCCTAAGTGGCCTCTCGCGGCCCAGCAGAAGTGTAGGGGATTCACAGAGGAGAATAGCTTCAAGTTACCTAAATGAGTTCTCATTAACTGGGACTTACGGTCTCAATAACTCACTCTGAGGCCTTTGAAGTAGAAAGAATTGGAAGGTGTCGTTTCCTTAAAGTTGAATAGATCAAGCAGCAAACTGAGAATAAACAGGACCCTTTTGAGTGAAGGACTTCAATGGGCTCACTGACCGCAACAGACTGCTTAACCCCACAAGACAAAAGAGAAAGAAAACGTTCAAAAGGAAGAGAGGCGGGGCTCTCTCTGAATCAGAGGCAGGGAAAGGAACTATTGGTTAGTGCTGTCAGTGATTGACAGTCACTCCAGCCCAGAAAGGCCCCTCTTAGCCAAACCTACTAGGAGCAGCATGCAAGGTTGTAAGAAAACCTCCAACAGCTTTTGCATGTTTGATAACTAGAGGGGCCAAGCATGGATGGGCAGTGCAGATATTCGTCTGGACTGCAGGCTTCCCCGGAAGGAGATCTGGAATTCTTTATTTTAATTTTTGTTTTTGTTTTGTTTAAATTGTGTTTCTGGTGTAAAACACCCTCTGTGCTGCTGATGGAGTTAGAGGAATGGGATGATTACGACACAAGGACAAGTTGGAACGCAGGCCATTGAGTCCTTCGAAACAGCCTCCCTGCGAGGCGATAGACAAAATAGCCAGGCAAGCTTGTTTTTCTCCTCTTGCCAAGCGCCGCTCCGATGGGAAGAAGACAAGCTGTTCAGAGCGGTTTCCACACAGAGGGACAGGGGCGACAACCGAGGGAGCAGGAGTGAAATGACGGCGTCAGGTTGACTTACAACGGACAAGTGAAGTGGGATGCTCTGCAGATCGTTCCCCCTCTTTCCCCCTTGAGAAGGCTTGAGTCTGCGCCGAGGGTGTGGCAGAGCGCCGCGTGTCAGGCTGCATTAGGAGCAGGGAGAAGCCTTGCCTCGGCAACCCTCCAGAGTTCGAACCAAGTTGGAGGTCTTCACGAGACGTTCCCTGAGAAGCAGCGCTTTCCACCAGGTTCCGGCAATGCACACCTTTCGAACTGTATTCTCTCCAGGCAGCCTGATTTGCAGACCCCACCCCCACCCCCGGGGTGGAAGCAGCTCAGCCGAGTCTCCGGTACAGGATGCAATGAATGGAGTTTGCACATTGTTTTTTTATTTTTTAAGGCTAGCTATTCAGAGCAGGGCAGGGAACGGAGGGCCAGCTTTGAGGCTCCAGGAATCTTCTCTTGCACCAGCCTTGAGTGGCCCAAAACCTGAGGGGTGTGTGTGGAATTTCCCCCTGGATGGACAGCAGGCTTTCCAAATTTCCCAGCAAGAGCGAAGGGCCTGGGGAAAACTCCCCAGGACCTGGTGGAGGCCTTTGGTCCCCCGCCCACCAGAAAATAGGGTCGGATTGCTCAGTTTTGGCCAGGAGGGTTGGCTTTAAGGTGTCATCTGATCCAGTCTGGTCCCTTTTAGTTGGACTCTGGGCCCCTGTATCCGGATTGCCCTAGATCGTGCCTCCTCGCCCACTTACTGGCTGAATCTCGGACTTGAGCTTGGGAATCCCAGGCCACGGGGTCTTGCTGCCAGCCTGGCGACCTCATGGGCCAGGATCTCCTCCCTGCGGCCACCCAGCAAGCTCGGCTCCACCTTTTGAGTCAAATTCTTCCAAGCCTTGTGGACTCCACAAGCCGCCTCTTCCGCCTCCCTTGCCAAGCTTTGGTGCACAAGCTAAGAAATGAATGCAGAGATTGCTGGGGTGTCTAAGCAATTTGTTCCTACTTTTCCCTCTCAATGAGTCTTTTTATAAAGAGAGTTCAGCCACGCAGCCCTGTCACCAAAATCTGATTTCTCCGTGCCGTGATAGATGGCTCTGCGCTGTTGAGGCAGCCGCAAAGATCAAGCGCCTGGCAGAGAGTTAGGCAACCTGGAGCAGCCTTGGATTTCAGATGGTAGGGCAGAAGGCTGCTTTCCTGGGTGTTGGGTCTGCGAGGCCAGGCCCTCCTGCCTGCTCCCAGGGTTTGAAAGCAGGGTCAGAGAAACTCTCCAGATAGATCCGGTGGTGTCAAGGAACTGCTGCAGAGCCAGGGGCTGGGAATTTGATTCCCCCCCCCCCGTGCCGCCTCGACCAGGGGCTGGATTCTAGGGTCCCTTTTAGCTTTGCTATTCTAAGATGATGATGATGATGATATTATCTAATATATAATCATACCAACACACAGCTGCAGAAGCACCCCCATCCAGCATGAAGGCAATGATGAAATGAATTTGTGGATTTGCTTTATCCCTGAATTTTGTGCAGCCTATTTTCCTGTTATCAAAAGCTACTAGGAGGATTCCTCTAATTAAGAGGTTGTATATCAAGATTTTAAATACATGGAAAAGAACAATGAGATCCAGAATTAGCTTTCCTGGCCAAAGGTTTCTGGGAGATGTGACCCAATAAATTCACACAAGATCTTTAACAGAGCTAAACACCATGCCGCTTTAACTAAATGAGGGAGATTAGTGTCCATGTTCTATTCCGAAGCAGCCGCGTTGGACATATGTGAGGGGATGAGGACTATGATGTATGGGGGAAGGAGGTGGAGCATTTCCAACCCACCATGGCTCTCCTACCTCACAAGCTTCCTTCTCAGTAAAAACAACAAGGGAACATTTTTAGTGCACTAATTTGAGGTGAAAGAGTCAACACTGTCTCTACAGGGTCTTCACATGAGTTTGAAGTGCGAAACTATAGAGGTTCTGGCCTCCTTCTAAGATGCCTTTGGAGCCATATTATCTAGAGGGGTCAAATAATAATATAATTTATTGTCATTGTAAGTATATACACAGTATACCATACAACGAAATTCAAAATATGGTGCATTGCCACTGTCTTTAGCTAAGTTTCTAAAACACCATCTTTTTTTTTTCTCCAGAAAGTTGGACGCTTTCATCTACGATGCGGCGGTCCTGAACTACAAGGCTGGGCGGGATGAGGGCTGCAAGCTTGTCACGATTGGCAGTGGGTACATCTTTGCCACAACAGGGTATGGAATTGCCCTCCAGAAGGGATCACCGTGGAAGCGGGCAATTGATCTTGCACTGCTGCAGTTTGTCGGAGATGGTAGGTCGGAAGGACTTTGCCCTCCGTCCAGGGTTTTGGTGACCACTGTGATGAGGACTGTTCAAGCTCACAGCATCGTTTCAGGGCCACTGAGAGGATGTTCGTGAAATGACACTTTTCATTCAGAGCGTAGAACTAGGGGGTTCTAAAGAATTACTTGTAATTCATCGGTTTTGGGGGGGGGTTGCAGTAAGTACAGCTTAACAATGCACGACTGTTGTTATATAGCAAGAAAATACATTCCTCCTTTTGAAGAACAACTGTTAATTGTTCCAGCTGCCTTCATAGTTCAACGGGGCAGGTGGCATCACTAATGGGTGGTTCTCCCATTTGTGGAGGATTTCAGAAATCAAGGGGTTTCATTTTTGGCCTGGAGAGAGTGGGGCAGCTTTTTTCAACGCCAGCTGCCAATACCGTGCAAGCAGTTTTGTGGAGCTGCCACTGAGATGATTGAAACAGCATCATTAAGTGGCAAGGATAAGAAAAGGCATTGCCCAATTGAATAAAACCCATGCTTGATTGATTAACCCATTAACATACTGCATCTGAATTAATGCGGAACGGAAAAAGCAGGGAAGGGTGGCACCATGTGCCTCTTCTCAGGAGAGGCGTTCTCCCCAGAGTGGGAGAAGAGGGCAGGCTGCCAGTTTAGGGGGAGAGGCTGTAGCTCATGGCCAGGGATATCTGAAGTTCCAGGGCCTTGCATTTTGGAGGGGAAAGCATAAAAACAAAGATACTGGGGAAAAAAAAATCTAATGACTTATTTGCAGCACCTGAAAGAAGTGCAGATTTTGAAAAGACAAGAAGTGCAGATTTTGAAAAGACAAGAAGTGCAGATTTTGAAAAGACAAGGAATTCATTCTGGGATTGATGCCAAACCAAGAGTGAATGCCTGAGAGCAACTGTTGCGGGAGCTCTCCAAGGTCCTGATTCTGTTCAGGAGTTGCGGTTCAGTGCCTCCAATCAGTCCTGTAAAGTCTTAAGTTAAAGGCTAGTGCAGATTCACTAAATCCTCTTCTCTGGTACCCAGAAGCAGGTGTTAATGCATGCCCGCCCACCCCCAGCATAGAATGCGCCAACGTTTATCTTGGCAGTTGCGGACTCAAGGCATTTTTCATTGCTTGACACCCACCCCCAGGTGAAATGGAAGAGCTGGAGACCTTGTGGCTAACGGGCATTTGCCACAACGAGAAGAATGAGGTCATGAGCAGCCAGCTGGACATTGACAACATGGCAGGTGTGTTCTACATGCTGGCGGCCGCCATGGCGCTCAGCCTCATCACTTTTGTCTGGGAACACCTCTTCTACTGGAAACTGCGTTTCTGCTTCACCGGGGTTTGCTCCGACAGGCCAGGATTGCTCTTCTCCATCAGCAGGGTAAGTATGATGGGTGTAGACATGAACCTCACCCATGAATGGGGAGGATCCACAGAAGCACACATGTCAAGGTATCCACCTTAGAAGAGACCTTTGGAGGACACCTCCCTGAATCATGGGCCCTGTTGGCTGGGGATTCAGGGAAATGTGGTTCAGAAATCAACTTTTCCAAGCCCTAGCATGGGCTAGTTGGTTTTTTGATTCTGTAATAACAACTAAGTTGCATCTGATGAACTAAAGGCTATGCAGAGACCCTTTCTAAATTGAAGAGATGGAACATATGGAACAAAACAGAAGGTCTCTAAGGAGCTGGGGTTAGTGTCAAAAATCAGATCTGGGGGCATGGGGAGCTTCAGGAAAGAAATCCCTAGATCTTGTCCTAGATATGTTCCCTTGACCTGTTGCCCTCTGGATGTCTTGGGCTACAGGTCCCATCATCCCAGCTGGAATGGCCATTCAGGTGATGGCAGCTGTCTTTAAAAAACAGCTGGAGGAGATGCCATCAGAGAAGACTGATTATACTCCTTCAGGGTTTCCTACAGTTCAATAGGACTCCGGCTTCAGGTTGTCTTCAGTTAATCAGCTTCCCTCCTGAAGAGGACGGCTACTGAGTTGTATCTTTCCAACCCCATGCGTAGCTGAATCTACTCAAGTGGAAACCATCCTTTCATAGACTTCTGTTAACACGGGTTTTTTTAGGGTCTCCCCATCAAAAGAAGCGTTCAGGACTTGTCTAGTTCTGGACCAACAACAACAACAATAATAAACACAACACACCAACCATGGTTTTACAAGCATGTGTCGTTTTAGCCCTTTTTCACTTTTCTGCCCACCAGATGTGTATTCAGAAAGTCTAAAAAACTGAAGCCTAGGGACACCCCCCCATTTTAATAATCGGTTTTAAAAAACAATGAACAACTCATGAAATAGCACCGTCTTGGCCACCCCCCTCGAAGCTCATCGGGAGGAGCCAGCCTGGGTCCCCTTGGAATGGAATCTGCCCCTCCCATTCCCAAATAACATAGTTTCCCCCCCTCCTTCCTTTAAATGATCAACCTAAACTTGGAGCCTTCTGCCCAACCATTTACACAGCCTCAATAAGAGCAATTAGCATTATACATGAAACCACTCCCCCCCCCACAACGAAGGAAGCCAACTTTTGTTGTTGTTGTTGAATCCAACCAATGATTATTTAAAAAAAAAAAAAGAAATCGCAGAGACGTTATTTGTTTCAATACAGGTTGTAAATATGCTTAGTCTTAATCTTTGGCAACTTCCAGCGGTGCTCGGGTGGTGTTGGTTTTTGTGTTTTTTTGTTTTTAATTAGTTAATTGACTCTGCAGCCCTATCTTTGCGAAAGCATACAGAAAATAATTGGATGGAACAACCGAGCCCTTGTGTTTAATTAACAGGGGAGGACAGGTGATGGGGAAGAGGCAGCCCCGGGATTTTGTCAAAATTAATCCAGCCTTGTGGCGCAAACACACAAGCGTTCCCTTTCCCAGTGCTTACTGCTCAGTAAGCAGACTATATGTGTATATGGGGCTGGTTTCTGGATTGTTTAAAACCCTGATGGGACCAAATATCAGAAAGGTTTCTAAAACAGCAGACAGATGCTCATCACCTGGGCAGGTGGGTTTGTCCTTATCGTGGGTTGCTCAGAAAGAACAGTGCTCAGGGGTAACAGAAGCTGGTGGGGAACTTCCCCTCCCTGGTGGTTAGAAAGTGTGACGGGTCCCACACTTCCCCCTCACCTCGAATCACAGAGCAGTCTCATTCATTAAATCAAGGAAGCCTTGTGGGACTGCCCTTCAGCCAGGTGCCAGATGCCGAGGAGTTGCCTTGCAGAGACATGGCAAGAGATGGGGAGAAACCACAGTGAGTTGGTCCCCCATAGTGTTGACGTTGGCTCGATTCAAGTGCAACCCAGTAGAATCCCAGTGGGGCCCAGGTATCCCTTCTCAGAGGTCACCATGACCAAGAGCTGGCAGTAGGTTGGAGAATTTGGACTCTCTTTTTCCCCCCAGCTCATCTGCCACTGCGCGATGTCATGCGTATTTTGTCTTTTAAACTAGCCCCTTGAAAGAGGATGTTTCATCTCTGTTTATGTTGCACCCCCCTTCCAGGGCATTTACAGCTGCATTCATGGGGTGCACATTGAGGAGAAGAAGAAGTCGCCCAATTTCACCTTGACAAGTTCTCAAACGAACATGCTGAAACTGTTGCGGACGGCCAAGAACATGACCAACGTGGCCAACATGAATCCCGCACGGATGAATTCCCCCAAAAGAACAGCCGATTTCATCCACAGGGGGTCCTTGATTATGGACATGATGATGGACAAGGGGAACCTCATCTTCTCCGACAACAACAGGCCCTTCCCGCCCAAGGAGAACATCTTTAGTGACAACATGAGCGACCTCCAGACCTTCAACCGGCACAAGGACAACCTCAACAACTACGTTTTCCATGGGCAGCACCCCCTCACACTCAACGAAACGAACCCAAACACGGTGGAGGTGGCCGTCGCGGCCGAAGCCAAAGGGAATTCGCGCCCGAGGCAACTGTGGAGGAAATCGATGGAATCTCTGCGCCAAGAAACCCTCCGGCAGAGCCAGAGTTCTCAGCGGGAGAACGACTCGGACGAAAACCGCCAGCATGCCTCGAAAAGCTCGCGGTACCTGCCGGAAGAGATTGTGTGCTCGGATGTTTCGGACACCTCCAGCCGAGCCACCTGCCACCTGGAGCCCGAGAGCAACGGCAAGCAGCCCAAGTCCAAGGAGAACGTGAAGAAAAGACCCACCTCCAAATATCCCAAGGAGCCCAGCGAAATGGAGCTGACTTACCTGAAGAATAAGACTCTGCCCCGGGACAAAATTTACATTATAGATGCCGATAAAGAGCGGGGCTTCCATCTGGAGAGGCCTCAATATATTGAGAACCTGATCCTTCCAGAATCGGCTGAGTTCTCTGAGGTTTACCAGGATCACACCGACAACCACCAGCAGGCAGAGCAGAGCAACCGGACTCCATCGGCGACCGAGGACGGCCTTCTGAGCAATGACCAGTACAAGCTGTACTCGAAGCACTACGGCTTGAAAGAGAAAAATGCCTCCCTGGGCGAAGCGAACGAGAGGTACCGGCAAAACGCCACCCACTGTCGGAGCTGCCTCTCCAGCTTGCCCAGTTACGCCGGACACTACCTGAGCCGGTCCCCCTTCAAGTGTGACGCCTGCGTGCGGATGGGCAACCTGTACGACATCGAGGAAGACCAGGTGTTGCAGGCAACCGCCGACGCGACCCAGCGGGACGACACGTATCGGCATGACTGGATTCAGAACAACAAGACCCAGCCTCCCCGGAAGAGCAAGCTGAAGATCAGCCGCCAGCGCTCTTTCGACAACCTCCTGGACAAAGCCAGGGAAACGGAGGCCGGGAGGCCAGCTCGCAGCATTAGCCTGAAAGAGAAGGAGACGCTTCTAGAAGGCAGCCCGTATGCAAGCCTGTTTCAGGCTCCCCAGAGCAAACTCTTGAGCAGCCAGCCTCCGCTATTCACACGCACTCTTGATGACGGCAAGAGGATCCGGTCCTTGTACCCCGACCGCTCTGCAGAGAACCCTTTTCTGCACACCTATGGCGAAGACCAGCACTTGAGTCTTGGACGGAGCCCGGCTGGCCTTTATAAACAATCCCAGTCCTTGCCCGCCAAGGCGAGAAATGATAGTTACTCAAGGTCGTCGACAAAATTGGCCACCTCGTACTGTACCAGGGATGGCCGGGTCCTCAATGATATGTACCTTTCGGAGCATGGGCTGCCTTACTTCGCCAATACCGTGTACACGGTCCCGAGAGCATTAAATTCCTGCAGCAATAGACGCGTGTATAAGAAGATGCCTAGCCTTGAATCCGATGTCTAGCGTTTCCGTTAGCACTTTTATCGACAGATATGAAACATAGTTGCCAGCATCTGAGAAACGAAGTTGGGGATTGGGGGGGGGTATTCCTTAGCACTTGTGCGGAGAATTGGCGATGCCTTCCATATTATTGAATTAAGATACCGATCCGTGGCACAGCTGAACCAAAAAGGAAAGAGGGTGGACGATAAAATGAGGCAGACAAAATTAGTCTCTTCCAGGAGGTATCTATACTACAAACGTGACATTGGCTTTCGTCGGACGTTCCACTTCTCTCTCAAGTGGTCCGGAAGTCCCCTCTTGTTTGAGGGCACTTTGGTTGTGATGGATGTGGTCCCTGGCTTTCCACGTGGCCGTGAAATTCCCTGGGAAGGTCCTTAAATTGTTTTCGGTTTGTAGTATAAATACGCCCTCAGGAAATGAGTCCAGTTGGGCAAAAGAGGGGGGAAGGGAGGGGGAAGGGGTAAAGGCCACAGTTGGTGGTCAGCCCCAGTAATATGTTGGCAACCATGTTATTTTTATACAATTATATGGTTATTTTACCTTGGATCGAACCCTTCTAGCACTTTCACCCCTTGTAATTCCAACCCTGCAAAACTTTATTTTTTAATAGAGATTAAGCAATATGGTATGCATGTCCTTTGATACAGAACCACCACCACCACCACGACAACGACAAATTAAGAATGCGTTTGCACACCAACAAGGGCAAGACTTATCAAAGAGATTAGAAATTTAGTCCTTTTTTTAAAAAGAGAGAGAAAACCTATATAGAGAGAGAGCTCTATCTGTATGATTTTGTTTCATCTTTGCGTTTAGACACAGTCAAACAAAAGCAAACATAAAAAAAAAAGAAAAAGAAAAAAACTATTTATTCTCAGGGCCTGTGAATGGAAACAATATTGTGTTCATCTTTGTCTGTCTTACAGAGGCCAAGGCAGCAATCCGCCATGGACTTCTTCCCCTGCCCTGGCCAAATTCCATTGAAAGGAAAAGGAAAAGGGCCTCGTTCCTTATGGTGGCCACCCTCTCTCATTCAGACCGGGGCTCCAAGGGTGGACCATGCGGCATACAGCCAGGAAGGGGGGGGGGACGTTGTTCCCGGGGGAGGTGTCTTGGGCAAGACAGTGGGGCTCGCCCGTGCAATGACACGGGCCAAGCTGGTCCCCCACGGAAGCCAGGGCTGGGGTTCTGGGAGACCTTACTTAGAACCAGGTCTTTAGGGGTGAGTTGGGCTCTGTTGACCAAAAGTGAAAGAGAGAGCGAGGGTAGTCTTTCCAGATCATCCGCCTCTTTAGGGAAAACCCATCAAGGTCTGTCTTCTTGGCATCGTTCCCTTGGAAAGATTGCTGAGGTCGGAGGGGGGCCAGGCAGAAGCCCTTCAGATTTTTGAGATACTGACCATTGTGTGGTCATTGCTGTGGCAGAAACTGCTTAACACTTCCTGGAAACAGAACAAGCCCCTGGGAGGACTCCTGTGTTCTTGAACCGCTCCCATTCTTTTGAATGGTTCCTGCGGTCAATTCACAAGTTACAGACCTTATGGTTTGGCTTAGGTTTGCTGTCATTCTCACCACCGACTCTCTACCTTTTGTCTGAAACTGAGCCGGTGCGGAGGAAAATGAGGCATGGAGATCAGAGACATGCTTCACCGGATAGGTTTCTCTGATGTTAGAAGGCATAGAAGCAAGACAGGTCCTGGGTGAGAAAGCTGGCAACCCTTGTCAGAGAAGGTTTCAGATCACCTCATGTTGTAGGCGATGGCCATGTGAGCCCAGTGGCCACCTGACTGAGCAGGTGATTCAATGCACTTGCCTCTAGATGCTGGTCAACCACGTGGATTGAAAACTGCCCTTGGTTTCTGTAATGTGTTCTGTGGCCCCTGTGGTGGCCCATGACTCCGTGGTCACATGGACAGCCGATCTCCTTGGGGGTCTTAGTGTGCAGTGTACAGGATCCTCCACCTTGGAGAAGGCCTTTAAAAGATGGACTGCTTCTCCACCACCGCCACCAAGATCAGGGCCACCAATGTCTGTGGCTGTGGCCCCTGTGACCCAAGAGGAGAAGGTCCTGTGGGGGGGTTGCACTCATACGGTATAATGATCCATGGGGGTTTGCTCGCGGTACGAATTTCTCCAAAACTGTTGGAATCGTAGTGTTAAGAGCAGACCCATAAGAGTAGCACTTTATGGTTGATGTTATTGCTGATGGTCACTTTAGTCTCAAAAGAGTCTTGTGGAGGACAAGGGTGGATTCAGACAGCCTGGGACAGCAGTGGGAGCAAAATAGAGGTCTCCTTCCAGACGTTATGTTTGCGAGGACGAACCATGAGGTGCCTCAAGTTGCTGTGGTAAACATGAGGTGCCTTGTTGCTTAGCCTGCCTGTCATGTGGCTTAGAGACATGACAGGAGGCGCATGCTGAATGCACCGAGGAGAGAAGGGTCTTGGGAGGTCTAAATCCACCCTGTATTGAAGGAGAATGATTCTGGAGAGACCAATTTTGGGGACTGAAGCCAAAAAAAAATATGGGTGAAAACATAGGCCCAACTCATTGCACATGTCACGCGTTGGTTTCTGTTGGTGTCCAAAAGCTTTCATTCTGTTTCATGGATACTCGTTTTGTAACAAAACTGGTTTGTAGAACAAACTCTGCTGTCCGGCATCGCGGCTCAGACACCTTCCCGGCTGCAAAAATCTAGATAACTCCTAAGTCTCAGTTTATGGAGTATACATCTGTTAAGCTGTAGACCTCATGATCTAACTTGAAATCTAAATGTGTACGAGAATCTGTGTCTCTTCCTTGTCGGTGATGATAACTCAGGGTTGTACAGTATCTCTCTTCCCCTCATCCCCTGCCATCACCCTGAAACAAAGGGGGGGAAAAAGAGAAAATAACCCCATGGCTATTCCCCAACTAGTGGTTGCTTGCTTGTCTACAGCTCGGGAGTGGTCCCCATTCAACAAACAGCATGTAAATGTTAAATATCATTCTTCATGTATGACACCGACCACTGTAGACATTGAATGGGTCTACGAGGAACGCCGTGCCATGCTCTGCCAAGAGTCTAGATGTCCGGCGCCTCCTGATCATAGCTCACTTTTGCTCTATAGATATCATGTATGTGTCGATTTATGTCTGAACTTTTTTTTAAATTTCTCTGGTCAAAATTCGTCTTAATGGCTCAATATATGCACAGAACGTAGACCTAATTCTGAAATTAGACTGTGCTAGGCAAGTGGTACAGTATTGGCAAATACTCCTGTTGGGTAACCCTAGAGCAGCCAGGACGGGGTTAAACAAAGAACCACACACACACCCCTTTCCGAAACTAGAGATGCCCTCCAAAATTGGGTGGTTCCACCCATTATATGCACTCTGTGGCATGAATTAAAATATGCACTATGTGAATACGTGCCGCTTTAGGAAAAGGAAGTAGAGAGCAAACGCAGACTCTCAACTGAAATAGTTCAAAAAAAAAAATCATCACACATGGGGGGGGAGTGGGGGGGCTGGTCAAATTTTATATATATATATATATATATTCACTGAATGCCAAATGTAATATTTAGAGAATGCCATCCCCTGCGCCTTAAAAAAAAGAGGTTAAACGTCCCTATTTCTTTGAATGCACTAGAAAGTATTTTGTGTCTTGCTTCCTATGAAGATTCTTTTTAAAAAAAGAGTGGTCTATGAGGACAAGTGCAATTCAAGGCTGACCCTGTTTAATTAGCCTCATTCTATGGAATTGTTCTTGAGTAAAATGCAGGAAGGTTGCCTTAGAATTAGACTTATAATCTTAGAACTATGTGCACTATTTTGGGCAGAGCCGAGGAAGACCTAGGAGCCCAGGGTTTTAATGCCATGGTTGTTTTTAATGATCGTTAAAGCCCTTTGCCATGAAGTAACCCCATTTTGAAAGAGGTACCCATCCTTAGAGGAAGCCATTTTAAGATGGCTGTGACCCACGTAGACGTGCCATCTCTACAGTGGGGGTGAACGGGCCATTCCTTGACCAGGATCTTAGAAAATGGGGCCGGCTGGGCCAAGAGAGAGGGGGGGGTCGCATCAACGTGTTCTGTGAGCCGTTGTGGCACACTGCCCTGTCCAGCAAGGGGGCAGCGTCTCCCGCCTGCTCTGCCCCCCGAAGAAGATGGAGGAGGAGAAAGTGGGTGCTCCAAACGAGGGAGGAAATTAAATAGGGCTGGGAGTGGGTGCTGTTGGCTTTCCTAACAGTCACCAGGAGATTCGCCTGCAGATTTCAGCATCCTCTAAGCTTTGGAGCCCTGGAGCAAAGGCTCAGTGGCCCAGCCCTAGTTATGGCCTTGGTTTTCCCCTGAAGTTAACCATGGTTGGTTGACTTGAGGGGATGGTTCTGCGCCCGTCCAAGGTTATGGCTTGGCTGACTCTTTTCTCAGCAGGATTGGGAGCCTGGCCGCTCCCCCTGCCTGACACCCTTCAGGACGTTCACCAAGAGAGGTGTGTTAGGAGCTGTTCGGCCTTCTGCCCCATCCTGTCTTGGAGAGGACAAGCTGCCGTTTTGGACGCTTCCTCCCCTCCCCCTCCTTCCTTGGCTGTCGGGGACGTTTCTCAAGAGGACGCTTGTCCTTCTTCCCAACGTGTGCCAGGCTTGCCTTCAGAGGCAGGAGCCCAGCCAGGTGGTCCCGGACGTGGTCTTCCCACTGCTTGATCCACTAGAGCAGCTCAAGTCTCACAGAAACGTGGCCTTCAGGAGAAACTTTCTCTGCAGCGGGTGAGGAGTGTAGCTCCTTGAGAAGGTTTCGCCTCCAGGAACCTGCGTGGCTCAACCTATGAGTAGTGAAGGAAGGGGCTTGCGCTTAGGTGATGCTGTAGAATGTGGCATGGCGCCTCTTGGCTCTCGAAACCCAGGTAGTTCTCAATGGATTAGGGTTGGGAAAAAAAAACCCGGTCTCTCCACAGTCCTGCAAGTGCCGGCTGTCTCACCTGATACCAAAGATGCTTGCTGAAGAGCGATGCTCTTCTTTAGGCTGAGAGGATGCAGGGCGGTGAAGGGGTGAGTTAGGCATCGGGTGGGCAGCACCTCCCGCCTCCCCAATCCCTTCTTCCTATAAAATATTTTGCAAAGTTCATTTGGACTGCAGATAACTTAGATTAAAACACACCCACCCACCCACACACACACACCAGTGTTTGCGCATCACTGAATATTCTTTGTTCGTTCCCCACCTTCATTTCATGAATCCTGAAATTAGTTCCAACATGGAAAGTCAATCCTTGTTTTCTCGTTTGCCCAGAAGTGTTTGGTTATCCTTGTGTGTTCTGCCTGGCACAAGGAACGTGTGTGTGCCTGGGGTGGCAAACTGTGCCGAAGGCCATGGAGATGTGTGTGTTTTGTGACGCTTGTGTTTGCTCAGTGATCCTGCAAACACCGCCAGGCATTTGTTTTCGGGTTACCCAACCCAAGCAAGCCAATTGCCGATGTTGTGAAACAACGCTGGAGGATAGCTAGATATCCTTTACATCTTAGGGCAAGCGTGCTCCTAATTGCAAAGCTGCCACCTCATCCGGTCCTGCCCTCCTTCATCCCATGGGTCTGGCCTTGCCTCAGGTCTAATTCTGTTAGGGCCACCCCAGCAGCAGCTGAGTTATGGATAGGCAGGGGGGAAAGGGGGTTTCCTCTGTAAAGGTCTTTTTTGAGCTCATGTGGCAGTTTATGGCATTTCCCCTTTTTGGTGTCTTAACTTTGCATTGTGCCTCCTTGTGTTGGCTTATGTAGAGAAGAGGAGGCAAAAGTGTGCCCTCCCGACATGCTGGGACTGCAACCTCCATCAGCAATGGCAAGGGATACTGGGCACTGTAATACTCCACCAAGATCTGGAGAGCTATATTTCCCCCACTGCTGAGCTCAGTAGATTTGCCTATGTCTGGAATACTTGCAGGAAAACCCAGTTAAAATGTTCACCCTGTCTCTCATCGTGTCCTCTGGGAATATTTGATATATTGGTGAGGGAGGTGGGAGAGGCAGAAGGCCAGCTGGCTTTGTATTTGAAGTTACAAGTATGTCAGGTTTTAGAAGTCTAGGGAACTTGTCCCGTAAGCATCCTGCCCCCCCCCCCCCACGCCTTCATTTCTAGTCTTCCGAGACAATTTGCTGCTGTAGCCTTGAGACAAAAATGGTTGTTCTGACCTTAAAGATTTTGGGCATCCGTTTTAAACTGCTGCTAAAAAAAACCTGCAGAGTAGGGAGGAAATAAGTTCAAGACCAATGAGGAAATAAATACAGAATCTATTTGCCATTGACAGTCCACATCTAGGCAGAAGGAGCTGCAGAATTTAACGCGTGAAGACAGGAGACAGGGCCCCGTGCTTGGACTGCAAGTCTAAAGCCGTACTAATGGGGATTATGGGAACTGTAGTCCATAGAAAGATCTGTTCCAAGCTTGGATCCAGGGCAGATTCATCTGTGTGTGTGTGTGTGTGTGTTTGTGTGCATCCTTTGGTTTTTCAAATCTCAGGACAGTGAGACTCCTTTCAGACATTATGTAGCACCAAACCTCAGTCTTATGTAGTCTTAAGGGTCTAAATTTGGACACCCCCTAATGCAATTTTTTTTAAAAAAGGAAGAGGGGGAAAGCACCTCAAAAATGAAGAACTGTGTAAGTCCATGAACACATTAAAACCATAAATATATTGCTTGACAGATGTGCAAAAAAGTTGCATTAGATCAGTGGTTCCCAACGTTGGGTAAGCCGGTTTTCTTGGACTACAACTCCCAGTGAACCCTTCCAGCACAGCTGGTGGCAAAAGCTTCTGGGAATTGCAGTCCAGTCGCAACCCCTGGCTTGGGAATCACTGCATTAGAAGTGTAATTACAAAGTGGTCAGAAATTGGGCAAGGAGGGACAGCGGAGGCATGCCTGTGGGCCACAATTCGGTGGCATGCTTTTGCTGGATCCCACCTCTTCAACCAGAATTGCCAGCCCTCCCCCGCTTTCCAATCCTCCTGTAGTCTTCCTCTTCATGCACCCTAAAAGCCTGCTTTCGGGAGGCTGGGAAACCAGCAGGAATGGGGTTTGGGGAGCCACAGACTTTTTTCAGCAGGAGGGGAAGATTTCCCTGGTTCTGTGAGCCTTAGGCACTGAAGCGAGATGCCACAAAAGCGCTGGCGATAGGATCTCATCCAGTTGTGGAGGAGGAGAAAGCTGAACCATTGAGAACCAAAGAAAAGGCTGGTCAACTCACTCCTTCCATATATGAACTTAGTTATGGTGAGAGTCAGACATCCACATCTCATGTCCTGTGAGAGGACATTTAAAAAAAACCCACCCACACACACAACTCTAAATATATGACCAGCGCTGACCTCCAGGTGTTTTTTGCAATTTGTAAACAAGAGTCTTCCAGGAGGTAACAGACAAAATTGATATATCCTTAAATATATTCATACAGTAAGAGATGTTTGAGCAGAGCTGAGTTCTCAGGACAGAAAAAGATGTTGCAGATAGCCTTTCATTAGAAGAGGGAAACCTCTTAAGGGCTGATTATGTGTGTGTGTCACTACAGGAGTTTCTCTCTCCCCCCCCGCCCCCACCCCAGAATTTCCAAATGAGCTTCCTTTCTTGTGTGTTTGGTCTTCATGAGGTAGGGAGTTCTTTGAAGTTTGATTGGGTCAGACATGGAAGACAGCCTTAGTCACGTCTCTCCAACACTGATGTCCTTTCAGCTGTAATGACAGGCTACCTAGAACACCTCTTTCTGTTCTCAATGGTTTTGCATTCTCATTATCCTGACTCTACAAAACACTAGGTTATAGGTAGAGAGAAATGTTGTTCCATGTAGCATACAATTCATTGTCTTTTGGGCCATCCTTTTTGATGCCTTTTTATGTTTGGTGATCACAGATGCATTCATTTCTAGGGATGGGATTATATATACAGCTCTTGGCTAAGCCTAGTTCAAGCCAAACTTCCTGTTCTTGACTCAGTTCAAGCTGGGAGCTTCCTTTCTGTACAGGAAGTTAGGTGGAAATCTGAAAATCCCATCTACAATCCTATACTAAATGGCCAGAGGCCAACTGGCACCCCCCAACTAGATCTGCCACATAGAAAGAATGAAATTTCCATTAAGCACTGATTCCCTGTTCAACAGCTCATTCAATAGGTCTACTCTAGCTTAAATGTGCAAGAGGATTTAGATTGATGACCATCCATTAGAGGCGAAAGCATGTCCCCCTCTGTGGGCGTGTTTCTCATGAGACCCATCATAGGATGACAGTGCTGCTGCTATTGTTGGAAACTTTGTCTGTGCATGGGAGTATGTTTTGCATTGGGTTGAAGTTGTTTTGTTTTCTTTTGTCTCTGGAGGATGATGCTTCTTCTACTAGGTATTCAGAAAAAGGTTTCAGACAACCTCTGCCATGAGCATTCCTGCACGATCTTCATCTACCCACGTCTGTGTCCGTGGCTTCCGCATATTACGTATTTTACGTGCCCATTGAAAGCAACCAAGGTTTCCCAGCACTGTAACGTACCATGCAAAGAGGTCCAGCACAGACTGGCAAGGAAGCAGGAGCTGATAAGTGTGTCTCATCTCGGGTAGTGAACCTGTGGGAGGATGACCAGTTCCACACTGGAGACCCGCCTTGAGGTTGTGAAGCAGAACATGTGCCTTGTGTGAACTGGCCATCAGAAATCAAAAGGCAGGTATTTCCAACATTCACAGTGGCAGTTTTAGTTTTTTTGGGGACTAAACATGGGAACCCTCATGTGAAGAGATACCAGTCCATCTTATGTCCCAACACATGTATAGACTTCTTTGACACCTTACACTGATAGGCGGATATGACGTCCCTAATGCAGTAGGATGCAACCAATTTTGTGAACCGAGAACATTTTTCTTTCATTGTTTGTTTCTCTGTTATGTATTCTGTCCAAACAACTGTTTATCCCCCCCCAGCATATTTAAATCCAAATGCATGCCTAAGTGCTAAGACTGTATAAATAATATTTTCAGACATATCTACAAAAAAACCCACAAATGTTTGCTTCAGACTTTTGATGATAAGGGAGGGGGGTGTATAACTACTATGGTTGTCTTCAAAGGTGTATTGTATTTTTCATTTTTATTAAATATGGAGTTTTTTAGAGAGAGAGAGAGAAAGAAAGAAAGAAAGAGAGAGAAAAGATGCTAAGGGGGCTGAGGGATGTGAATGTTTGTGCGTATTGAAATGTATATACCTATGAGAGAAAACACATGTGCCAAGTATAACAATATGTACAAAATGTAAATACATGAAAATTTCATTTTTCTAATAAAGATAATTTCTGCCAATTGATACGAAAATGGGGGGGAATGGAACAGAATGCTCAATTATTCGGCTGTCCTTGGCTCACCTGAGCAGTGGTTTTCAAGCTGTGTCCTTTGTTACATGTTGTGTCTAAAAAAGTACATTTTTGACAATGGATAGACTGCCCAGGGGATGCTAGGAACTGTTGTTGGTAAAAAGTCACATCCCCCAGCTTTGTTCAGATCAAAGGGTTGTAACTACAGGAAATCCCAGGGTTTGTCTCCAGTAAGAGGAGAGCATTTTGTGAACTGATTTTAGCCCCTTCTTTGGTGATGCATTTTTTGGGGTTGAGTTGAGTTGAGATGAGTTGGGTTGGGTTGGGTTGGGTTGTTTTTTTGGGAAGTGACCACCCAAGCAGAACTGGGACCAGCAAATAGTGGTTTCGGCTAAGTTGGACGGATTCCATGTAATGCCACTGCAAATGGCCTACAGATCAAGAGGAAAACATCTCCCTTGCATGTAGAACATCACAGGTTCAGTCTCTAGCCACATCCCAGAGGAAAAGACTCAAGGTTGCAAGGCTGGGGAAAGCCCTTGGCGAGTCCATCTCCCTGGATTAGAGGGACTCATTTTGAGATTTCAGCCCTGAAATTCCAGTGAACAGGAAGCTGCTGACCGGGCAACCTTAACTGTCAAGTATTGTTAGATATTAAATATCACCTCTCGAACACTGATGATTAGAAAGCAGTTGCATAAGACGTCATTGGCTGCCTCCAGCCAGAGAACTGACTAATGAGTCCTAATAAGGGGACAGTCGTAGCTTCCCCCGCTGCCTGTATTATTATAATTTTTAGCACTCCTTCCTTTTCTCTTTCACTCCTACCCAGAAGGCTCTTTCCCCTCTACCTTCCAGTTTTCCATTTTGATGTTGATGTGGCATTATTCCTTCGGGCACCTTTCTGCTAGCTGCCTTTCCCCTCAGTTTCCCCATCAGCTCAGATCTGCCCTACAAAGCAATTCTGCCCTAGAGCCCCGGCCAAACTGATGATGCCCCCCCCCACATTTATGGAAGCAGCAGTCCTGTTCCCTGGATGTGTCAAGAGCCCTTCGCCCGTCCCCTGACATCACAGAAGCATCAGGGCATCTCAGAGGTCTCAGGAGACGGGGAAGTCAGAAGAGGAAGGCCAGCCAGCAGCAGAACGCCTAAAGGGATGATACGGCTTGAGCAAGGAAGAGAAAACGGTTGGTGGAATTTGGGGAGTTGAAGTCCAGGGAAGTAGTGATTTCTCCCACCATTGATTTTGTGGCCACAGTTGCTATTCAATATCCAAGGTCCATCTGGAGACTCTTTATCCTGTAAGTTTGCAAGGAAATGTGTTAAAGAAACCTCTTTTTGTGTATGTGTGTGGGGAGGTCCATTCCTAGCCATTTTTTGGGTCCAGCGATGTGTGGCCCATAACGGAGAACTTTTTTTAAGTGACTGGAAGCCACATGGCCATGGCTGACATGCGAACTGTCACGAACCCAGTACTTAACGGACCTGCTCTCTACAGAGTGCCAGAAATCATTAAATCCTCTCTCATGTAAGACTCTGACGAGGTAGCTCTATTTTGCAGCCAAGGAAAAGAGGAGAGACGCAGCGTTCCCTCAAATCACAGAAGATCACCAGTGTAAAGGATCTGCCAGAAGGTTTTTCCCCACCAACAAGGAAGAAACACGTTATTTCCACGTCAACAAATGAAGTCCAGCAGTTTCCACTCCCACCTTGAGCAGGTATTTTGCAAAGTTGATGGATCTTAATTACCCACTGAAGACCAAGCTGGTCTAGTAGAGTATTAAGAGACTCTCTTTAGGGGTTTTCAAGTCGCCTCTGACTCACAGTGACCCAAGTAGGGTTTTCAATGTATTGGAGGAATGATTGACTATTGCCATCTCCTAGTGAGGTTCCAGAGCTAAGCAGGGATTTGAAAACAGATCCACTGAGTCTTTGTCCAACTCTCCATCCGGTATTTCATGCTGGCTGTCTACTGAGGCTTTCCAAAAGCATGGGTCAAACAGACGGACCACGGTCCAAAATGGATAAACCAGCAAGGATGGGGAGCATCCTTGATCAGTAACTCATGGACCAGTGGGCAGGGCTTGTCCTCTGGCAGTCTTTCAAACTGAGGACTGCGCAGGCGGACATGTGGCTTCCCTGGCTGTGAAGAGGAGTCCTCCCTATGACACTTTCTAGCTGCATCCTGGAGAAAGGGTCATCAGCCCTTCACTCCTACATAGCAGGCTGGCTTTGCGTTCTTGCATTGTGCTTTATGGTCTTTCGTGGGTCCCCCCCAAAAAACAACAACAAAGAAGAGAAAGAGAGAGAAAGAAAACATGTTAGCCTTGTAAAATTCGGCGCACACCCTCTGTGTTCTGAGCAGCGTCTCATTATGCTTGCATTATCTTACGGCGCAATGCACAGGCCCTGGTGGGGAGCAGCCTGTCCCTCCCTGGCCTTCTCTCCCTCTTCCCCTCTGCCTTGTTTTTATGTAACACGCTCCCAATCATATTGCTTTGGTGAAGCAGCTTGTATTGCCGGGAGCTGGGAGCAAACGGCAGGGGAGACGGGGGGGGGGCGGTGGCTCCTAGGCTCCCGGTGCGCTTGTCTTCCCTGCGAAGCATCTGCTCCTGGCTGCTGCAGGCGTGGATATGTGTGTGTGTGTGTGTTCAAAACAAGGCCCAAGATCCCATCCAGATCTGGACTCCGGGGAGCATCCCCTCCCTTGCCCCAAGCTGGAAGGAAAAGCAGCTACGGGAGGGGGGGGGCTCTGCCCTGCCAATGCTGGGTGACTCAGGCATTCCTAATTCTGGATGCAACAAGTGACCAAAAAACCCCCGTATTTTGTCACCGGTTTTGGGAAACGGTTTCTTGGAAGTCTAGCTCTTGTACAGTCAAAAAGTAACTTTTCCTAGCTCTGTTCTGGCCAATGGGCAACCTTCGTGGTGGTCTCCCCGGGAATCACCTGCATCCTGTCATCCACACCAGGGCAGATGCGAGAGGGTTAGATTTTATTTTTTATGCCACCTGGGTTTTTTGGGTGGTGGGTTTTCTCTTTCACCCTTTTTTGTAAACAGAGGCTGGATGGCCACCTGTCAGAGTGGGATCCTGCGGGGCCGGTAAGGATTTGGCCTTCCAACCCTGCAATTCTGCATTCCCAACAAAACCGCAGAATGGGGGGAGGGAGCCTGGTGCCATCAGCCTGTTGACCTGGTGGTTCCTTGCCCTATTTCGCCGTCCGCTCAGCCTGTGTGTCCGAAATCCTACACTCGCAATGCAACGGGCTGCAACATCTTTGGCAGGGAAGGAACAAGAACATCCGCAGGCACCATATCGGCTGAAGTTATTTGTTGCCTTGACCAGATCCGACTCTGGCGTTTCCTTCCTCTTAGCTGTCAAGCATGTCCAGTGTTTTCTTAAACAACTCAAAGAGCACACTGTTGAGGCTCACAGCAACACCTCCCCTTTTTGCCCCAGTGTAACAACTTGAGTTTGTTTGTTTTCTCGTGGTTTCAAGGCATTATATTTTTGCCTGCCCCAACTCTGAAAAACTTGATAATCAACTCTGAGACAGGAGAAACGCTGCTGAAGGATTAGCTTTCTCTCCTCTCTCTCTCTCAGTGTCTGAAACTCAATTGAACTTGATAAGATCGCTCGGCGGAGTTTTTGGTTGGCATTTAATCAGGGCCAGTGCAATTTCCCATTACTGTCTGAGGTGTCTTGTGACTCTCAGATAGCCCTACACCCACCCACGCCCTCTCTCTTTCCCCATTGTTCTCCTCCGTTGCGTAATTGTCACACTCTCAAATCCGTGTTCTCTTTTCTGCATCTGTTTCCTCAGGAGAACGCCACAATAAGCTTTCGGCAGTTCCCCCCCCTTTTTTTCTTGTATTAACAAAAGAAAGAAAGAGAGAGAGAGTCAGCTGCTCAATTATTCTGCACAAACATAAACGCATTTAACATAATAACCCTTGCGGGTAAAAAAACATTCTGACGGCCTGGATGCTCCGGCCGCCGGGCCTGGCCATCTCTCCGTGGGGGGACAGGAAGGCAGGCTTTTTCCTACCCGGGCTGCGTCTGCGGCCAAATGGACCCACATGCCCAGCTAGAGGGCAGAGAGAGCCTCTACGGCTCAGCTGGACGAGGCAGCTGTTTCCAGGCAGTGGGCTTTGCATGCCATGGAAATGCAGCAAGGTGTGAATTTGCTGATGTGTGTTTGTGCTGCCTTTTCTACTCCCAAGAGAAAGTGCAGAAGGCCTGTTCCCCGTGAACCTTAGCTCTTGCGTTTCCCAAACTACCGGGGCCCCTGCTGGCTTTCCTCTGCTGGCTTTCAGCCTTGGCCTGCTACGCCCGGTTGACTTCGGCTCCCTTGCACTCAGCCTGCTTAAAGCTAGCTGGAGCTTGCGGTGAAAGAAAAAGGGAGGAAGGGAGAGAGAGAGAGAGAGAGAGAGGAAGGAAGGAAGTTTTGAAGATCTGCCCACACTTCCCATGCTATCTATCTGGTTGCAACTCTCTATTCCACAAGGGCCCAAACGCTTATGGGCCTTGGGATCTATGTGACACAAACACCCGCACCACATGGTGCAGTTCCAAGTGGACTGTCCCACTTTGGATCCTGGTGTGCACTTCCTTGCCAAATGCACACAAAAAGTCATACACACAAGAAATGAATGCACTACTAAGAGAGCTTCCAACCTCATTCTTTGATGTGCCCGGAGGGAGTTTAGGGGGTGCAGAGTAATGGACAATGCAGCCTGAGGTGGTAAGGCTCGGAGATAGCTACCACTGTGAACAATCCCTCTGTGGG